TTCTTCCTCCAGCTGCTTCTTCCCCAAGAGATGCATCTGTTGGGAGTCCTTCAGCTTCTGTTGCAGCTCCACAATCTGGAAAGGAGAGAGAGAGAGATTATTGAACAGGACAGCAGGAAGGTTCATATGACGTTTCACGATTCCCGCAGAGGAGGAGGTGGACGGGGCGCTTCTCTTACAGACGGAAAAGGAAAGCCGCCGTGTGGGTCCTGCATGGACGTGAGAGGCCTCTCTCTACCTTGTGCTCGTTTGAGGGCTTCCACTCCCATCCTTTGGCCATAATGTTGAGGGAAGGCCCACTGGCCGGGAGACCGCAAGGAACCAGGCCGTGCAGGTCATCCCTAGGAGGAGGATGGAGACTTCGAAGCCGCTGCCTCAGGCGGCAGGGCAGGGAGGGGGACGGCTAATGCCCGGCCACCAACTTCTTGACCAGGTCCCTCCCGTGAGACATGGGCTGCTCCCGGGGATCTGGCCCACCTCGTTGGAGAGCATCCTCTTGTCTTCCTCCAAGATGCGCAGCCGGGCCTCCAGCTCCAGCGACTGGACCTGGCCCTCCGCGCAGGTCCTTGTGAGCTGCGTCTCCTTCTCCCTTGCGAATTTGAGCTCCTGGTGAAGCTCTTCTGCCCGCTGTTCTAGGAACTTCCTGGAGAGAAAGGCCATGCCCGTGAGGAGAAAAAAGGAGAAGGAGAGCGCCCGCCTCCCACCCAGCTCACAAAGGGCGCATGGGAGAAGCTGATGGGCGGCTGGAATAATTCACACACACACACACACACACACAGTTTTGGATGGGTACTAAATGGCACTGTGGTGGCTGTGGGGAAGGTTTCCCAAACCTAAAAGAAAAATCTCAGCACTCTCCGCCAGGAACAGGGAGCAAGTAAGACACGGCAACAGTTAGCAACTTGCGGGCGGTGGCAGACCGAGCAATGGCCGATGGCTCTTAAACCCTTCTTGCCTTTTCTGAGCAACTCCTGGCCGATCAACCCCGGCGACACTTAGTTTCTCCCCCCACCTTATTGTTGCAAATCGGCAGAACCACAGACGGTGACAGAGCCAGGGAAGCAGCACCAGGGGTTTCTGTAACTAAGTTTAGGGCCCCTCCGCCCTGCCACCTCCCTGAAAGCATTTCCTGAATCCGTTCAATGATCTGCTTTTAATCTGTCACACGTCTCCGGATCATGACCCATTTACTTCCCCTAAGCTCAGCACTCGCTAGCGGCACGCGGGTAAGGAAAAAAATAAATCTAACATTCCCAGGCTTTGTTTTCTCCACTTTGTGGAAGGGAAAGCCAGGCTGGAGCGAATTACTCCACCTTTTCTGCTGCTCCTCCTGAAATTGCTGCTGGGCCCTAGCTTGTTTCTCGTTGGCCTCCTTCACTTCTTCCTCCAGCTGCTCTTCCCCAAGAGATGCATCTGGGAGTCCCTCAGATTCTGCTGCAGCTCCGCAATCTGGAAAGGAGGGAGAGAGAGAGAGAGAGATTATGGAAGAGGACAGGAGGAAGGTTCATATGAAGTTTCACGATTCCCACAGAGGAGCAGGTGGACGGGGCGCTTCTCTTACAGACAGAAAAGGAAAGCCGCCGTGTGGGCCCTGCATGGACGTGAGGGGGCTCTCTCTACCTTGTGCTGGTTTGAGGGCTTCCACTCCCATCCTTTGGCCATAATTCCCACCAAACGATGGGATCGGAAGTCCTTTCCTTCCGAAAACCTCCTCCCATTCAATGCAAACAATGTGAACCAGCAAAGAGAAACACAATTTAAAGGGCAGCTTAATCCTGGAACTGCAGTAGGGCGTGGTTTGCCAAATAGCCTTGAATAGCTGGCGGCCAAGGGCCAGGGACCCGGGCGGGCTGGCTACTGACCGTCTCCTCGGCTTCAGCCACCCTGGCTTTCTCCTGGGCGAGCTTCTCTCGCAGGCCGCTCTGCTGTTGGGCAGCCTGGGCCTGCTTCATCAGCTGCAGCTCCAGCTCCTGGGCCTTCTGGTGGCTGAGTTCGGCCTGCGAGGTGAGCGACGAGCAGGCTTGGGAGGCCTCCGAAAGCTTCAGCTGCACTTGCCTCAGCTCCGCTTTGACCTAGAAAGAGGGGATCCCGTTTGCATTTTTGACACAACTATCGGGGGATTCAGGGAGATGTTATTTTAAAAAAAGAAGCAGCAGCTTCACGCTTCCTTTCCAGGCTCCTGCAGGCTTTCCAGCATGATTTTATTTATTTATTTATTTATTTTATTTTATTTATATGCCGCCCACTCTACCCAGAGGCCTCTGGGCGGCTTACAATAATTAAAATTCAATACAATAAAATGATTAAAATACAATTAAAATACAAACCCTTATTAGGTGTAATTAGGTCCGCATCGACCCCTCTAAAGGCTAGAAGAAGCCGGAGCGGTGGCTTCAGCCCCCTTTGCCTCCCCTTGACCCACAGAGGTGACTCCGCGGCCTTGCAGAAGATGCAGCCACACAAGTGAAGCCCTGGGGAGAATCTCTGCTTTTATCTCTGATGGAGGACTGGAGACAACGACAGGGATCCCAGGCAGACTGCGGCCAGCCTAGGCGGGTCGTTCCAAAAGCAGGGGACAAGAGGCGTGGGTCTTCCTAGAAGGGAATCCCAGGGCCTCACGGGGACCTCCCAGAAAAGCCTTCTCCAGCGACAGACAGTTTTGTCCCTCCCATTATACACAATGCAGATCGACTGTAACGAGCCATGGATTTTCCTCTTGCAAACACACGGAAGGGAGCAACCGACAGATGGCAAAGGTTTGCCAAGCAGGCTTGAATCAAATGCAGGAGGGCGAAGGTCAGGGTCCCTTTAGGCTGCCTGGTACTGGGGCTCCTGAGTCCAATATCAATGGGGGAGCAGGGGCACATGCACAGAAATCTGCTCCGAGGTTCAATCTGAATAAGGTGCTGAACCTCCTTGGGGCCATCAGAGCCAACACCTTGGAAAGTGCCTGCAAAGTTCAGGCTAAAATGAGGAGCAGAGTCATGGTCCCCATGAAGTGGGAGTCTTCGGCCTCGCCTGAGACAGATGCTGGCCTGAGCCGGGTCCTGCGTCCACTGAGCTTGGCCAAAGCAGGCGGACGCCGGTGCCTTTCTTGACCCGGCTTCAGGGCTGCCTCCGATTCTGTTCTGTTGCCCGGCTCAGCAACCGACAGAATGAGTCGTCCTTCGAGAAGGGGAGACCCACGGGATGGCGGCTGCAGTCCCACAACATCCCAAGGGCCACGCTGTGCTCGCTGCCGCCCTGCCCCTTCTCCAGGGACTCTTATGGGCTGCCCAAGTCACTGATCCCAGCCCCTCCGAGGGCTGTTTTCTAGCCTGCTCCTGACCCAGACGAGGCGACACACTGCTCGCCTGACGAGCCTCAAAACCTTAGACCAGAGAGCTGTAAACCAGCGGTTTACTGGTCCTGCTGATGCTCTAGTTCTCCGTTCCCAGAAGCCCTGGCCACAGGAGACACTGGCTGGAGCTTCTGGAAACTCAAGTCCAAACAAAGCCGCTGATGGACCAAACACCGAGAACTGCTTGTGGCCACGGAAGTCGTAACCTGCACCCACGTGAACCTCTCCACCGACACCAATCCTTTTCCAAGGCTGTTTCTTTTCATTGGGGTGGGGTGTGATTCCACTGCAATATACTACTGCCCCATTTACCCTAGGTTTATGCAGAGCAATTCTAAAATTTCCAGGCTGCACGACATTATTGCAAGCGTGGGGCAAAAACCCACTTTTCCTCCCAGAATCTTGGGTTCTGTGCCCGGGGCGGCCGTCCCCTGTGCTAAGGTCATGATGACGTGTTTGAGGTGGGATGGGGTCCCCTTGGGAGATCAGCCGTCCTGCCTGCCATCTGAACAATTCCCCTTCTTTGTTTTAAAGTCTGACTTTAGCGCTGCAGCACATAGCTGCTGGAGTCTTTTTGTTTGCAACCCTAATGCAGTGCTATGCCACTTAGAATTTTTAAAAAAATTAGCAAAAAGTAACATATTTATTTGTTAGTTCGTTTCCGACAACACTGTTCTCCAGACAAGGTGGTGATGGACAGGGACAAAATGCAGGTGGAATCAGGGCAAACCCATTGGGCAAATCTCAGTGCTAGCCAAGGGCCTATTTAAGGCAGGGTGGTCTCCTACACTCTTATCAATCTGGTTCAGTTGCGGCTGCCCGCTAAGGATGGAGCTGGTGACAGGAAGAACCCATAACATGAAGAGATACAGATTATTTCGGCAATGATGTTGCCCTCCCAGCTTGGGGGGGGGGGCGGAGGAAACTGCCATTTCCATGATAGCATTCTAATTTCAGGCAAAGACGTTGTTCTTCACCCTAGCTGACTGAAAATCTTGTGCTAATTTCAGCACCATTTTTAATAAGGAGGTCCTACTGTCATTCTTTCCAACCATTCCCCCCCCCCCCAAAGCTGTAACACCTCCATCGCTCCAAACTGCAAAGAGTTGCTAGCGCTCCTCGGTTGGCTGGCCTCTCTGTAAAGCAGAACCCCCTACCTTGACGTTCTCCTGTTGGAGCGAGATGTTGTGTTCCCTAAGCTCCAGGTTTTTTTCCCTTTCGAGCCTCAGCTCCTTCTCGATGGACCAGCACAAATTCTGAACTTGATGGAAATCATGGTGAAGCCACTGAAGTTCCTCCTGCTGCTGATTGAGCTTCTCTCCTGGGGGGACCTGCGGGAAGGATGGAGAAGATGGGAACTGGGAGGAGAGCCGATGAAAGGGACGCCCTGAAAACACCAGGAGCTTGGGGTCTAAAATCTTCTGGGGATGAAAATGCCACCAAGTAGTCAATAGATCTATCTATCTATCTATCTATCTATCTATCTATCTATCTATCTATCTATCTATCTATCTATCTATCTATCTATCTATCTATCTATCTATCTATCTATCTATCTATCTATCTATCTATCTAATCCATCCATCCATCCATCCATCCATCCATCCATCCATCCATCCATCCATCCATCCATCCATCCATCTATCTATCTATCTATCTATCTATCTATCTATCTATCTATCTATCTATCTATCTATCCATCCATCCATCCATCCATCCATCCATCCATCCATCCATCCATCCATCCATCCATCCATCCAGTCTGACCTGCTGGACGTCACCGTCGGCGCTCCTAATGGGGGCCTGGGCCATGGGGGCCGGATTCTCCCCGAAACCAGCCTCGTGCCTGGACGTTGCCGCCCCCGGGCTGTGGGTGCTGGGTTGATGCCACGTCGTCTGTGCAAATCCCAGCACCGGGGATTCACACCGAGTATTTTCCTCGCACAAGAGGCTCTTTTCTTCCCAGCTTTCCTGGAGTTGATCCTCCTCTTCCTCCACCCTCCTGCTGTTCTCAAGGAACTGAAGACTTGAGGTTAAGAAAGTTGGGTTGGTGGAAGGAGGGGAGAGAGAGAAAAGACACCGTTTATTTCGTGAAAACCAATAATTCCACAAAGCCATTGACAAACTTCAGGAGGAGAAAGAAAATCCTTTTGCGACATGCAAGGTTTCCCACTAGTTAAGGATTTCCTCCTTCTAATAACTGGCTGTCTTTAATGTCTGTTTCTCCACTCAGAGATACCACCCCTGCTTCCTTCAACCCTGGAGGCCTTCGAGAGACATTTAGACCACCACCGGTCAGATCTTGCTTGGATTTGGATTCCTGCCCTGAGGGGTTGGGCTCCTTAGAGGCCCCTTCCAAGTTCACGATGCTCTGATCCCACCAAATTGATCTTGTGCCACAAGGGTGGTGGGGAACGTGGCGGTGGCAACAAAGCAGAAGGGACCTCTTTCAGAACTAAGGGTCCCTGTTAAAATAAGCATGGCCTAGGAAGTTATTGTCCATATTTTTCTTTCCTTTTTTCTTTTCCTGTTTTTTGTAAATCTTAAACCAGGTTTCTCAGAGAAACAAAGCAACGGTTTCTACACCTGCAACCTGTTTGTGTGTGCAAGCGTCAGTTCCTATTTTTCCCAAGGACAATAATACTTCAGATACCTGCAGAGGTCAGTATCGAACAGGGGGAAAATCTTTCTGTCAAAGATCAGAAAGTTAGCAGGGATCCATTAGATTGTTGCATTATTTCAGGAAACAGTTTCTGATTATTTTTCTTCTCTGTTAAACTCAAATGCTTGGTCTTGATGAATATATATATATATGGGTCAGGGGAAACAAGTGACCTGTTTCCCCTTGCATCTCACCTTTTATGCACAGTCTGGACATTTTCATCGATGGCAGCATCGTCAAAAATATACCCGTCTTCTGCTGTTGGCTTTTCATCCTGCAAGGAAAATTAAAATAAAAACGGGGATAACGCAATTAGGGCAAGCTGGGTCTCAGTGCTGAGGGTACGGTTCAGGGAAGGGCTATGTTTCCCCTGGACAATAAGCAGGGAGATAAAGTTCTGGGTGAGCGACACTGGAGGAGTAAGAGGTTTGGATTTCCTTGTGTATGTAGTGGCTTAAATGCTTGGAAGCCCATCTCCTCCCCACTGCCAACGGGGCCCAGGGCTCCTTTGCTCAGAGTAAACATTGCGTGTCTCTGTGTGTGTGTGTGTGCATTCCTCATATATGAAACACCAGCAGAAAAAAAAGCAGCCGCATTAGGAGGGCCTGTAGCCGGCCAGGAGCAATAAAGCAGGCGAGACCAAGGGAACCACGGTGGGTAACAGATGCAGGATGGATTCGGTTTGCCCATGACTCTGAGCCAAGGACCATCTTCCTCCTTCCCCCACCCCACAGGACTGCTCTAACAACCCCAGCCATAGCTACTCAGACTTACCCAGTCTAACGGTGGCAAATCCATAGATCTTATTCTGGCCAGGAGTGCTGTGATCTCTTGTGTCAGAGGGGAGCTGGCCCTGGTCCCCCGAAGATCACTCATTTCTAAAGGCAATCGGAAGCTGTTAATTGGGGGCACCCAGAGAGTCACTGGATGAAGTCTGAACAAAGCACCATCACCAACGTGCCACGGCATACCACCCTCTCTTTTACAGGAACGGGCAGGTTTTGGCACATACTCGCTGGTGGCTTCAGACACTACCAGCTGCGTAACGCGAGGATCTGGGGTTGCCAGTCCCAGATCAGGCACACAGAAAATCACGAATGTGACACATACTTCCTAAAGTGCAACAGATCAGCCACAAAACTCTTCTTACAAAATAGCATCTAGACAACAATTAAAAACAGAAATAGACAACAAAAACTTGTGGCATCTTCAGGACTAACTGTTGTATTTCAAGGAAGGCTTTCAGGGATAATCTTAGAACTCCAGAGCTGGAAGGGACACCCTCTGGATCCTCGAATCTGGCCCCTTTCAAGGAGGCGCAGCGGGGAATTCGAACTCCCAACCTCTGGCTCCACAGCCGGATGCCCTAAACCAGTGAGTGGTTCTTAACCTTTGTTAATCAGGTGTTTTTGAACTGCAACTCCCAGAAACCCCAGCCAGCACAGCTGATGGTCAAGGCTTGTGGGAGTTGCAATCCAAAAACATCTGAGTAAGAAAGGTTAAGAACCAGTGCCCTAAATGACTGAGCTATCCAGGAGCTCTCTTCTCTATCCACTTTTCCAGACAAACTTACAAAAATAAGTGGATGAAGGATGGCAATTTCAGGTGACCCAGTCTGTGCGAAAACACCCGTGCTGGAGAGAGGTCAAATCCTGATCCTTACTCCAGAATCTAAGATCCTTGGGGACTGACAAAACAGATACAGCAGTATTCCACTGGATGTGCCTTTATTTTCTCTCACATGTGGGAATATTTGGTGAAAGACTGAGGGGAGATATAGAAAGGTTACTTACCTGTAACTCTGGTTCTTCAAGGGGTCCTCTGTGAATTCACACTAATGGGTTAAGTCTATACCACAGTGGACTCTTCACACTGTGCTAAGTGCCTCTGACGTTCAGCATTTGAGCCACTGACCACAACTGCTGGACATTTGTTGACTTTCAAGGTTATTTCTTAGTTGCAGTTACTTCCAGTAGCACTTCAGGTGGATCCTCCTTTCCTACATTTTCACCTGGACAAAGTTATACTGTACCCAGATGTCTACTTAATACCCAAAGTTTCTACTGAGTTTCATGTTCGGCAGCCTATCAGTCTGCCCACTTTCTTTCCTAACTGCCTACAGATGTAGAGAGAACACTTGACCTGCTAGATGTTCGCACAGCGTTATCGTTCTATGTTGACAGGACTGTTTTTTTTTCCCCGCAAGTCTAATCGCCTGCGCCCGGTGAACGCTCACTCTACCAAAACTTTGGCTACTTCTCCAGCTTTTCCTCAAGGGTGTCCCACTGTTAGACACCTGCACAGATGCCATTTGGCCCGCTCTGTCAGCCTGCATCTTTCACTATTGCCTGAATCTGCGGGCTAAGGAGGATGTCCTTTTTGGACGCACGGTCCTGTCTGCTGTTTTGCCATGACGTCCCTCCTCCTATCAGAGGCAAGCTTGCTAATCACCCATTAGTGTGTATTCACAGAGGCCACGATGAAGAAAGAAAGGTTACTTACCTGTAACTCTGGTTCTTCGAGGGGTCCTCTGTCAATTCAAACGTCCCGCCCGTCCTCCCCTCTTTCCGTCACAGCTGTCTCGCCTTTAGAGCAGCAGCGGAATTTGAGCAACTGAGGTAACTGTCAGGGCGGGCGGACCATGAGGGTTCTAGAATGTTCCGAGGCCTCTGCGCAAGTGCAGACTTAACCCATTAGTGTGTATTCACAGAGGCCATGGAGAAGAAGATGACATTTTTCCAAAATTTGAAATACAGAGGATAAAAGGCAGGATCTGTTCTCGATCATCCCAGAGTGCAGGACAAGTCATAATGGGCTCAAGTTGTAGGAAGCCAGATTTTGGCTGAATATCAGGGAAAACTTCCTAAATGTTAGAGCAGTACGACAACAGAATCCCCGACCTCAGGTGATGGCGAAAGCGCTCCAATGCTGGAGGCCTTTAAGAGAAAACGGGACAACCGCCTGTCAGGTCTGCTTGGGTTCGGATTCTACCTTTTGGTCCTAAAAGTGATACAAGAGGATACTGAGACTGTATTATAACTATTACCACGATATGTACCAACAGAGTCTTGGGTATCCTGCATACCCACACTCTATGTACCAACACTAGATAAACAGCCGATTCCCTGCAGATATGGGGGTCCTCCTGCCGTTGTCTTCTAAGTGAGGCAGATGTGCCTCTGATACCCTTGAGAAAATGCTTCATCGCACCAGATTTTGGGAACTACATACGGTCAGGCCTAGATGGGAAACTGGCAAGGAGTTATTGGGGACATCCTGGCCGGGCTGGGAAATAATTGCTGTTCTTGTCTTCTTGAAGGCTGGCTGTTATGATTACTGCATCCCAGTGTTGCCGCTGGCAAAAACCTTGTGGCCTCCCTGCCCCCATTCCTTATTTTGGTGCTGATGCAGCGTTGAGGTGGCTCCCGGCTTGGAAGCAACAGTCCCCAACCTTTGGCCTCCAGATGTTCTTGGACTACAACTCCCACAAGCCTTCACCATCACCTCTGCTGGCCGGGGTTTATGGGAATTGAAGTCCAAGAACATCTGGAGGCCCAAGGTTGGTTACCACTGGATTAAAGGGTCCCTGAGACGGCGAGCGGCGGGAGGAGGGCTCGGAGGCAGGCAGCCACCCCAGGCGGGAAGGGGCGCGCCACCCACCGCCAGCCAGCCAACCCCGGATGCCCGGTCTCCTTGGCAGAGTGCAGATGGGGCAAGGGGGTCTCTGGCGCGCCGCCCCCCTCCAGCTCCTGCCACCCTGATCCCGGTCCCGGGCGGGCGTCTCCTCCTTTGCAGCACCTCCCGCCGCGACTGCTCTCTGGCTCGGTGCCCCAGAGGTGCACACGGGGATCGGGGCCAGGCCCTTCGCCCCTCCTTCCCTCCCTCCTCCCAAGGCACCAATCCGGAGCGCCCCTGCTCCCCGCTCCTGCCATCCCCACATCCCCTATTTATGCAAGAGCCCTGGGGGGGGGTAGCCTGCAGCGGCGATCAGCTGTTTAAAAAGCATTGCTTTGCCACGCCTGGGGAACCGATCATCGCAAAGCGAAATTCCCCAATGGGAACATCGGAAAGCGATCGCAAAAGCGATTGCAAAAAATCTTCATTGCAAAGCGATTTCATTGTTATACGAGGCAATCGCTATGCGAGGCACCACTGTATTTTTCTTCTTGAAACCCACTGGAAAGAAAGCAGGGAGATGCCGGTTGTTCCAAGCCAGTGCTTCCCACTTCGCCCTCCCGCCTCCCTGAAACGATTTCCTGAAGTACGTATGAGCGAAGCTGGCCCTTCTGGAAGCCGGAGGCTACACCCGGCCTGGGAAGGCTCGATACACGTGGGCACCTCACCTGGTGCGTGCATTGCGCGGACACGTGTCCTTGTTGCACAAAAGCTTCCACTAAAACCGAGCAGTCAGGGAAAGGCCACAGTGTCCTGTTTCACCATTTTTTTTTTGCTTTTGTTTTGTTGGAAGGAATGTTTACTCTTTGTTTATCTTTATTTATTTAAAATATATTTGTATTACGAGATAAATATAACATTTATTGATTGATATATTGTACACCATATTATATAGTAATAAAGACTCTTCTATGCATTTATATTACAACTATTTATATTTATCTTACATTTAGATAGCGTTGAGAGGATATTCAGACCTGGTTCGCCATGTTTCCTTAACAAGCATTTGAGATACTCAAGGGATGAACATCCCCCCAGTAAGTTTCATGGGCACAGCAGGGATTCGAACCCGGGTCTCTTGAGCCCTAGTTCCAACACCTTGGCCCGCCCACCATCCTGGCTCTCATCCTAGTATATACATACAGACACGTATCGTACCATCAAGGAGTATGATGACAACTGTACAAATAAAAATACATTTTTGGGGAAAGATGTTTTCAAGGGCTGGCTGTTCTGCTCAGAACACTGCCCGGAGGAAGACGAGGGCCTGGACTTGGCAGGAACAGGGGGAGCCTCCTCGGGGAGCGGCTGTGCTCTTCTCCCCTTTCAAAAGTCTTCTCTTGCCCCTTCGGCCCCATCGTAGCAGGACGGCTGGGTGGGCTCCTCTCGGCGTACGTCGGCAGGGTCTCCGGGGGAGGCCACGTTTAAGTAGCCGATCTCCGGCGATGGGGAGAGCGAAGGTTTCTCTGCGGGGGCCTCTCCTTTACCGTCCTTGATGGCCTTCAGGAAGCCACGCGTGTCCGCCAGCCCGCCGACGGAAAGGCTGAAAGAGAAATCGGTAGGCCTGGTGGGTCTCTGGCAGGCAACGCGGTGGTCTCAATCCGTGGCCACTCCGCTTTGCCCGCCCACCCATTGAGAGAGAGAGAAAAAGCTTTACATGGGAAGCCCAGAGCTGTTTCTCAGGACAGGATGGCAAAAATGGGTTACGGAATAAAAGCGGTGCACCCGAGCGTGTACAGAGTGCATTTCTTCACCCACAGCTGACGGTGCAGTACCTTAAGTTAGGAAGGGCTGGCATCTGGCTTTGGAGGTGGCACTCAGAGAAACCAATGCTTTTCAGCTCCTGGAAAAGAGGAAAACCGTCCATGAACCAAGACGGGACCTTTACGAGTTCTGATCTCCTGAGGCAGATTGTGGGGTGGGGGGGCGATCAGTGGGGGAAATCTCTCACTGGGAGACACAGAACCGGCTCTTCTCTCCTCTGGTGCGGCTACAACAGGAACCTTCTGTGCATCCAGAGGCCACAAAAATAGAGCGAGGACTTACCACACATGTACCTTTTGTATCAAATAATTAAGTGATTTAAGTCTTTGGCCGGTGTTTACAGGTGTATGTACATTGTGTAAAATCTTATTCCTGGTAGGCAATATTTGACACCGTTTGCTCTGGGTCCCTCATTTGATCTTGTAAAGGCCAAGCCCTACCACTAGGCCAAGAGAGGTAAACTCAGGTGGGAGATGCCCTGCGCGCATGTAAGCAAAGGTAGACGCTAGTGACTTCTCTCAAATCCCCTCTTACTGGAAAATAGGTGCTTGTAGAAACCGTTCCAGAACATCTCGGCCACTGATTCCCAACCTAGGGCGTGCGTAACCCCGGGGCTACAAACCAGAACATGGGGGGAAAAACTGAATGATGACAGGAAAAGGCACAGACATAAGAGGCATAAGACCAGATAGTAATCAAAAGTTGTGAAATTAATTGAACATTAGGATGAACGGCCGGGCGGGTTTTCTTTCCTTACTTAACCTCGAGAAGAGCCCCTTTAACTTGCTTTAGCCATTGGTGGGGGGATCCGTCCGGAAACCCTGCTTTGCGAATACGCCCCTTGGAGGCTCTGCTTTCACTCTCCCCTGTTTCGCGAACCCTTAAGGGCTGCCGAATGTTCAGCAAAGCACACGAATCTAAGAATCATGGAGCCGGAAGAGCATCCAAAAGGCCCTCAAGTCCGTCCCCGTGCTCAGCCGCTCTTGAAGAGTGTAAATAAATGACAGTGAAAGCTGGGGAAGAGTTCGTGCCCTGGACCGTGGAGCGGGCCCCTAAGCCTTTGCCTCCAACTGGACGGGACTGGGGTCAGGCCACCCCAGGTGGGGACGGAGCCCGTGGCTCGCCACGACCCAGGTGTCTCCTTTACCTCCAAGTTGTGACTGTGGATGTTCCTCAGGGCCCGTTCCAGGGCTCCCACCTGGCTGGTCAGCTGGAGGATCCGATCCTGCAACCGCTTGTTCTCTTCATTTAAATAATGCAACCTGGAGGGGGGGGAAAAAACCACAGGCAGAAGAATGTGAGCCTTGTGTGGTTTCTGCCCTTGCAGGGCCGATTCAGGGGGAGAAAGTCAGCTAGGAAGGAAAGCGGATGTCTGAGTCCACCATCGCCTAGGCCTGATTCTGACACCAGCAGGAGAGCCGAGGCGGTGGCACTCCGGTCCAAAATCTGACCCCCGGGGGACCCCGATTTCTCTCCAGCTCATTTTTACACAGGCATTGCTGCCTCTTGAGCCCTTTCCAACCAGCAAAGCACGCCCCAGTTTCAAGGAAGGCCCATCTAGTTTTCAAATTCAAAACAGAATAACTGGAGGAGATTCCGTTTGAAGGTGGGAGGAGGTTTTTCAAATGAGAACCACAGGGTTCTTAAGATGGTTCCTGCCACGCAACCCCA